CGGGGTCTTTGTTCTCGCGTCCTGGCCTCCGGGATTGGGTGCGGCCTACCTGGCTCTGTGTGCGCTTTTCGGCTTGGAATCGCGGTGGTATGAGTCCGGCCCACACTCGGACCCAGGAGCCCTGCCGCTCTAGAAAAATTTTAGATGAAGCAAAAGAAATAGCAGTGGCATAAGCAATGACAAAATGTCTGAAGCTGGAAACATTTAGAGTTAATGCAACAGCATGGGGATGGCCGAGAGAATCCTGGTTCTGTCATTCTGCTTTGCCGACTTTACCACACTGGATTTTAGCTTTGGTCTTAGGACCTCATGGTTTTGAGGGGGTCGTCATAGCTCTCAACATTGTGTCCTTAAAATATTCAAGGAGAAAGACAGGGTAAGGCTGTCCAGTTTCTTCATTAATGAGGAATCAAAATCCTACTCAGATGATGTGTCTACCCTTCTTACCCTGCACATCTCACTTCTGACCTGACCTTATGTGCCCCTTAGTCTTCTCCAGGCCTGGGCAGCATATGTCGTTACCACGTAGGGCAGGACAGAGCTGGTGCAAAGTAAATTTAAGCAGGACAGGTTTGCCTGCTGTGTAGATGTTAGGAGATTTATCACCTTTTAAATTTCATAAGCATCTAAGAGGGATGAGAGGGCCCCAAACCCTTTAATCTGGTGAGGCTCGAACAAGCAGGCCCTGAGGATGACAATAAAGTCAAAATTTACTCATGGGGGTGGCAACAATCACCTCAGAACTGAAAATGTCCTAATGAATCTAAGGTCAGCACAGACTTTCAGGCTCAGGGATGAATGGGAGAAATTTGGAACAGGGGCCTAAGGCAGGTCTGAGGTCAAGCTTGCCTTACAGAGCACTGCCGGGCTGTGGACCTGGGCTGGAGAGGAAGCAGCTGATCTCCTGAGTCATAAAGATGAGGTTCTAATTGGCCCTGCCTATAAGGCTGCCTGGCTCAGGATTCAGGAAAGGAAATCGCTCAACACCCATGGGAATTGGGCCAAGCCAAGAACCTGTGGCCACAACGACAGTCTGAGAAACCAGGACCTCATTGCCAGGCCTGGCTCTGTAGGACCTGCTGAGCTCAGCTGTGTTCTTCCTGGTCCTCAGGGAGGTGACCCTGGGGGAGCCCAGGAGGAGGGTCAGCAAATGACACACAGCAGAGCTATGTCAGCCAGAGTCCACTCTGCATAGAAAGAAAATACATAAATCATATACATATTAAATGTATAAGCATTTAAAATAAATGTTATATTTATATACATTATGTACCTGTATTATAAATAAATATAGCATGCATATTGTATATACGTACATATAATTTAGATTTGTGTTCTAGCATATAATTTTAAACTTGATAGATTGAGTATAGATATTTAAAAACAGTTCCAGAAACATCACTCCAGGGCCTTCCCTTACCATGCAGTTTGAACATCGCAAAGCCTAGGACTCTTGCTTAGGAACCTGCTGGACCTATTAGGGACCCACTCATAGACAAGGACACTGAGAAACCTGGGGAAACTCGGGACACAAAGCAGTAGGTGTGAGGGAGATGTGCTGCAAGCATAGAGAAGTTTTGTTTCTAGTGCTCGGCATGGGCAGCTCTTTACCTCCTCACTCCCTTCAACAGGTAAATCAGGGGCCAGATGGTCACAGAACAAGTCACCCCATGGCCAGGTGGCAGGTGATTCTCCAACTTTTGTTTTTGTTTGTTTTTGCTTTTATTCTGGTATCGGGAATCAAACTCACAACCTTGCGCTTGCCAGGCAGGCACTGTGCCGCTGAGCTAAATCTCCAGCCCCGATCCTCCAACTTTAAATGAAGTGTGCTCTCTGCTCAGCTTTTACATGGCTTCCTGGACTTCTCATATGGGTTACATCTGCAACAAGCACAAGCCTCTGACTCCCTGTTACTTTCTAGCCTCCAGTAATCAAATTTTATAATCTACGGCCCTTCTAGGACCAGTGATGGCATGGAGTCAAATCTGTGGGTCCACATGAGCCAGGATGCCTGAGAGAACAAGGGGCGCAACTCTGAGGGTGTAAACAGCTACTTGTGAGGAAAGGATGGATTGACCTGATTAACTCAGAGTAGGCATGGATGAACACACTGAAGGCTCCATTCAGAGATGTGGAGGAGGCTCACTGGAGCTGCTACACACACACAGAGGGACAGGCCTGAGAGGGGAGAGAGGAATGGATTTCCGAGCTGTCTTGTCTCTTCTCCTGAGATAGCCAGAGACCCTCAGCATTGCACCCCCAGGAGCAACACCTAGGGAAAGTTTGTGTTGGTGATGACAGGAGGAAGGACCCATGCCCTGAAGTCATTGCATGTGCTCACTGTCAGAGTGTGTCTCACCACCTTCACCCGGAAGGCACAGTGTCTGTGGGTAGTATTGAGTGAACAGATCAAGAACCAGGGCTGGTTTCTGCTGGTACCAGCCTAGGATGCTGTTAATACTCTGACTGGGGTTCTGCAGGAGACAGTGGCCCTTTCCCCTGGGACACAGGAATGCACAGATGCTAGACATGGACTCCGCATTGTATGTCCATCGGTGTCTAAATCAATAACAGTTATGTACATCCCAAGGCTCTGATGCCATGCAAATAGTGTGTTCTGTTGATACGTTTGTGACTAGATAGCTAAACAAACTGTTTCATCTGCAGGACACTTTGTGTTTCATAGAAACATACCGAGGAGGAAACCTATGTCCTTTTTTAGCAAAGTGAGAACAGAGTAAAAGGAAGGAAAAAGGGACAAAACTGGGCCCCACAAGATGCCGCCTCTGAATGATCCTGCTATCAGAATGTCAGGATGGTGTATTTTATCTGCTCACACTGCTATATGGAACTAAACTATCCTGAGCTGGTTTTAAAAATATTATAACTTTTTTTCATTATTCTGGAGGCTGGGAAGTCTGAGACCAATGTCAGAAGATACTCATTTTGTTTTAGTCCATCTTGATTGGTCACCTTCTTGCTGCATCCTCGCAAGGCTTTTCCTTGATGCCCATCAGAAGGGGTGAAGAGAGATCTACTTGGTACCTCATTTTCTAAGGATGCTAATGCGATAGCATTGTCTCCCAAGTGTTTGACTTCATTTAACTATCATTCCATTTTTATAAAACTTTTTTCCAAACACATCCACATGGGGGCATGGTTTCACTACATGAATCTGGGGACATGGTTCACTCTCTAACAGATGGGCCTTGGAGACACAAAGCCAGCAGGTGACAGAGCAAGGCCAGGCTTCCAGTCTCAGAACACAAAGTACTAAGTAAGTTTTCCCCAAAATTAGGCATGCTATCAGCGCCTGCCACACGTCTCTGGTCACACTAGTGATTTTATTCATGACTCCAGGCACTCTGTTAGTAAGGGGCCACTACCACTCTATTATTTCCCTAGTATTTCTGATGTCAGGCACTACTCTCTTGTTTGCTGTAGGTATTGTGCACCATCTAATGGTATTTATGTGACATTGCACCTTAAGGATTTCGGAGTCTGAGTCCCATTGAGTTTTCTCTGAGAGTCTCTTCCCTGTTGTTCATGAAGCTGGTCCTCCTGCATCCATCACAAGGTGGATTCTATAGAGAACATAAATGATTCCTTCTATCAATAATCTAGACATATAGCTGAGGACAAAAGAATAGCACACAGTCTCAACACATAAAAGATACTAGACACAAGACAGTCAAGGGCTGGATAACATGACCCATGTGAGATGACAATGGTGTGATTTTTAGAAAAAGTTTCTAAAGGAAAAAGCAGAGCATGATGATAGTAGATGGTAAGTGGATGAGATCTACCGGTCTAGATCTATCAATGCAGCATCATTCTTTCCACCGTGGAAATACTCCTACATCCTTTTGTGAGACCCACAACAGCCTGGGAAGTTCCTGAGGCCATTTAGTTGTGTGGTCCAATAGTGATGTTTGTGTCCTAGGCTATAATGCTGTGAATGATCAAATAAATCTGTGGGACCAGTGCTGGCCAGCATAAAGCTCTGCAGGGATGAGAACATCTGTATCTGAGTTGTTCAGCATGGTAGCCAAGAGTCAGATGTGGCTATTGAACACTTAAGATGTAGCAAGCGTGACTGAAGTTTTTAATTTGTGATTTAATGTTAATTTAACTTATAACTTAATTTTTATTTCAATTTACATAATCACATGTGCTAGTATGCACCCCCTAAGACAGCACAGTTCGTTAGAAGAAACCGTCAGCAGCATCCTCTGGAGAGTCAGGCTGCCAGTTGAGAACCACTGAGGCTCCCCCACAGTCACTGCACTAGTAATAGACACAGGCATCTTCAGCGTCCAGGCTGCTGATGGTGAGGGTGACATCCGTGTCAGACCTATGGCCAATGATGACAATGAGAGTCCTGACCAAAAGATGGAAACTGGGTAAGTGAATAGCTCAAGTTTTCTGTTGGAAAAAATTCGGGTAGGCTTTTCTGTCAATAACGTTTGTTACATTCATGTGCCCTGCCGGTGATGGTGGTGGTGATACTTGTAATATGGGAGACAGCTCAACTCTTACAATGATGCATTTTTTTCCTAAGAAGGTCCTAAAATCTGAATCTCACTGAACATTTTCTGTATTAAAATAAACCTTCTCACCTGTAAACCAATACTGTAGTTAATTTTTCTGTTTCCCATACATTTGTTTTAATTTTAAAGAGGAAAAAAGATAAACACAACTGTGAAACTGGGTTTCCAAACAGGTTAGTAGGGCAGTTACAATAGTTGATACATTGCGTATTGTTGTCTTTGTAGTAGTTATTCAGAGTACAAGATATCGGTTGTGTGTGCATTTTCACTTGTGTCATGTTCTCCAATATCCCTTTAGATTTTTCTTCTTTTTAATCTCCTCTTCAGTCTCTCTGGAATAACCAGTGTCTCACAAGTCATCTCCAAATCTGTGACTGTGGCAGATTCAGCTTTTGGCATCTCCCGTATGCCATTGCAATATATGACAGGATCTAAGCTGAAGCTGTACAGGAAGTTAAATAATCACTGAATCACTGAACACTGAGAGCTCTGCATGATGCACCAGCTCCTTGTAATCTTGCAGCACCAGTGACCAGAGCCCACTTCCTAACACCCTGTGTTTATGATTTGTTTTTACTGCAATGGGATATAAATGACCATACATGCATTATTTCACTAATTTCATTCAACAATTATCATGACCATCTGTTAGGTTAGTTACTGTCAGCTAAAAGAGCAGACCTGAGTGAAAAGGGGAACTTCAACGTGTTCAGTACTCATGACAAAAAGTGCAGAGCTAAGCCTTCCTTTTGCAGGGAAGTAATAAAGCAGAACACAATTAGTATTTCAGAGCCTCCAGCACTTCTAGCAGGCCAGTGACTGAACATCACAGTGATTTGTGCCAGCTTTTCTTGATCTGTAACTGTTTTCCTTTTTATCAGGACAACTGCATCTGTGTACATGATGAGCTAAGGTCATGGACACTTCGATTTGTTATTTTGCTACATTTTGTTATTTTGCTTACTCATGTCATTATGCATATTATGTAAAAACTTCCTGGCACTGATTAAAACATTCAGAAAATCCTCAAGTCATATTTCTAGCAGAAAAGAAAGCTGACAAGAAAGGCAAATGTATTTATAGCAAATGAATCGTTGCCTTCCAAATGTTGAGTTAGATCCATTGTGATCAACTGAATAACAAATGTTAGTTTAATCTGCTAATGTGGGAAACATTATCAGAAGGGGTCAGTTTTATTGGCTAGCTTTATGCTCAGAAATGCCAATGGCCATATAAACCTGGGTGGGTTTACATTAATGTTATTGAAATCCACATACAAACTTTCACGATAATGACTGATGAGACTCACTGGGGAAGCTGAGAAAAATGAATGGTTGATAATCACTGAATCACTAAACACTGCGAGCCCTGTGCAGTGCACTGGGTCCTCCTGATCATGCACCAGCAGTGACGAGAGCTCACTCCATAACTCCTTGTGTGTGCATTGCGTCATTCTAATTGTTAAGAGCTGCCTCCTCAGTAAATGGCTTTTACTGATCATTCACTTGGAATGCATTTATTTTAAATCCTGGCCTATTTGTGAAAGGGCCAGTCATGAGGCTTCCAAAATAACTTCATCTCCAGTTCTTCCACACTTTTCTTCCAAGGTGTGATAATCTGTAAGCCAATCCTGTGGCCAATGACATTGCATCTCTGATCTCTTCTTTTGTTTTGCAAAATGGCCATCAGAAGTAGCCCTTGGAGTTTACCCACTGTTGTGATTTCAAGTCTTCCAGGCACTCTTGGTGATGACATATTTCCACATCATTCTAGTGTGCAACTGTGGAATTCCATCTATCTGAGCATTGCTGTATAAACATACATACTGGTGAATTTCATAGGATGCAATAATTTAATTTTTAAAATCAGTCAATATTATCCCATTCATATTCTTTGCAATTCTTCTGAAATAGAAAAAAATATTTTAAAGAGGAAATACCAAATTGGTGAGAATTTAGTAATCATGGTTACAAAAGAAATTCTTGTAGACAGAGCAGGGACAGCATTCTGGTGTTGGCCCCAAGTGTTTTAAGGTGAGAACAAGCAGAATCATGTTAAACAATTTATATAATATTTTGTATTACAAAATTATAAATTATGTATATGCAAATATATTTAAATACCTTATTTGGATATTAGTATATATATGTATGTACATTTGTGCAACAAACATTTATCAAGTAAATGTGTATGTACCTATATCTATGTTATATATACATATTATGTGTATTTTAAATGGATTTATAATCTTTTTGTCTCTAGTCCATTTTCTTTCAATATTTTCTTTATGACATTAATTTTAATAAGATAAATGTGTTCACAGGAGTCTATGGTAAATATTGTGTTGGCCGTTTTTTTACTCAGTAGTGATTGGTATTCCGACATTAGGCATTCATTTTCATGTCCAGAGGTGGTCATGTTGTCAGTGAGTTGGATGATCAAGCTGAGTCTTCCCACTAGGTGATGACCTGGCTTTTGCCTACAGTTGTGTGTGTGACCTAGTGCCAAGGCTGAAGGACTGTGATCCCTGAGTGGTGACATCCTCAAGGCAGGTTGAGGAATGATTTAAATCCTCAAATCAAGCCACACAGAAAGAGTTAAGTCCAATAGCCTCCAACACACAACTTTGATTTATTCTTACATTTTAGTAATTCCTAAAGTTTCTAACAAATGTTTTATTAATTAACATATTTTATTGTATCATGGTAGATAATATTTTTCAATGCTTGTTCTTAAAATATTTTCAAACATATGTTTGCGCTGAGTAGAAGATAAAATTAAGTGTCGATAAAGTTAAGTGTAATTTATTGTGTGGTGTAAATAATTTATTGTGTGGTGTAAAAAAAAAATTAAGTGATTTCGTTGGTTAAAAAATATTTAGCAGAAGGAAGTATCCCCTAAAGTATAGGTTTGAAAGCTTCTGGTGATTACTGTTATATGTTTTAAATGCAAATTCTCATGAACTATATAAGAAAGTTCTGCTCTTCTGCATTTGTATCATGTTCTCAGTGACACCAGCATCTGTACAAATTTTGAAAAGCAAGATGTTTTCATATTAAAAAATAATACTAAGTGCACGTTTAGTGTGTTGGTGTTTTATTTTTTATTTAAAGAAAAAATTTTCATTTGTTTTTCAAATGATTGCTCTTTACTTCATGCAATACTCTCTTTCTGTAAATTCTATTCCTGAAGTTTTCCTGCTAGGATCCTAGACTTACAGATAAAATTTTGATGCATATTCAAATACATTTTGAAGCATTCCTCTAACAAGGAAAAAGTGCTGAGTGAAAGTAATAATATTGGATGGTCAGATCCTAACTCCCCATTACCCAAACCATTTCTAGAAACATATTTCTCAAATTCACTTTTCACTTTGGAATTTCCAAAAACTTAGTCAAAGGGAAGCCCTCCTATTAGGGATTTGAATTCAAAAGATGGTTCAGTATTCACTGACACCTTCAGGGAGAGGGGCAGACAGAGGGGAAAGCTCAAGAATCACCTACAATGTGCTGGGTCTGCTGAGAGCATTAGTACCACTACTGCTGGGCTCCTTAGGCAGGCCAGGGAGTGGAAGATACATTCTGGATTCTATTAGCTTCTATGACTAGCACACCCGCTGGGGCTTAATATTCTGTATTTTTAAAATCCTGATTGTCATATCTATAATGAATTATCTTTTGCTGTTTAAGTCCCAGTAATACTCTCATTAGCTGTTGGTCCCTATAAAAAGCAAAGACAATGTAATACACACTGATACATATGAGTGAATTTATTACATCTGCTCACAGCATCATAGAAGCTGTAAAGGTCTAGGAAATCTGACTGCAGGCTGAAGGGTCAGGGAAATCAGTAGCAGCTTCATCCAAGAAGCTTGACACTTCAGAAGGACAGAGAAAGAAACGATTTGGATCCAATCCAAGGCAAAAGCCAGAGGGCCATGACAGAAACCCATTGGTTCAAGTCCAAGTTCAGAGGTGTAAAAACTTCTACTTTGGTGTACAAGATTACCAGTAGCAAAAAGTGTACCCTCTCAAAAAGGAATAAAATAGAAAGAAAGGAGAAAGAAAGGAAGGAAGGAAGGAAGGAAGGAAGGAAGGAAGGAAGGAAGGAAGGAAGAAAAGAAAGAAAAAGAAAAGAAAAAAAGAAAGAAAAAGAAAGAAAGAAAGAAAGAAAGAAGAAAGAAAGAAAGAAAGAAAGAAAGAAGAAAGAAAGAAAGAAAGAAAGAAAGAAAGAAAGAAAGAAAGAAAGAAAGAAAGAAAGAGAAAGACAGAAGAAAGAAAGAAAGAAAGGGTCCCTATTTCTCTTGCTTTTGTGTTCCATCTGGGTGCCCAGCCTACTGGATGGTGCTGCTTACCATTGTGGAAGGTTTTTCTCACTCACTTTGCTGAATCACACACAACTCTTTTCTGGAAACAGTCTCACATGTACAACTAAAAACCTGCTTTTTAACACCATATGCATCCCTCAATCAGGTTAATATAATAAATCAAGCACCGCAAGTCCGTAACATGACTACACAGACGTGTGATCATCTCTGCCCCTTATTAAATCTGAAAAGGAATGGTCAGATGGGCGTTGCTGTGGCTGTGGTGGCAGAAAAAGCTACAGTGTACAGAAGCGTTCCAGCTGCCTTCTACCAAAACCTCCCTGTGGCTTTCAAAGCCTGGCTCTGAGATATTCAATAGGTGAAAACAACAGGAGGAGCAGCTGGGGCAGCCCAGCCTCACACTTCTACTTCCCTGGGGGTTTTTTGTTATGGCTTGTATCACTGTGGGAGGGAAGTTAGTATACTGCTGACAGTAATAAGTTGCAACATCATCAGGTTCCAGGCTGCTGATAGTGAGGGTATAATCTGTCCCAGACCCACTGCCGCTGAACCTGGATGGGACCCCAGACTGCAAATCGCTTGCATCATAGATCAAGAGCCTGGGAGCTTTCCCTGGTTTCTGCTGATACCAAGCCAAAGCACTATAAATGTTCTGACTGGCTTTGCAAGTGATGGTGACTCTGTCCCCTTGAGATTTGAACAGGGAGGATGGAGACTGGGTCATCTGGATATCACATCTGGCACCTGACATTGGAAAGAAAAAAAAAAAGTCACACAATTGGTCTTATTGACAAAACTTCTATGAAGAGCCAGACAGTACTGCTCACACTGCATTGAGTAATTCCCAGGGTTTTCCTCCTCACCTGAGAGCCAGAGCAGCAGGAGGCCCAGGAGCTGAGGCATCCTCATGTCCATGCTGTGTCCTGACTGGGACTGAGTCCTGCACAGGGTGTGACAGCCTATGAAGAAGTCCTCAGGGCCTGGGCTGTGCTCTGGGCACATGCAAATCAGCAGGGGCTGGCTCATCTCTATTACTTTGCACAGGCCCAATGTCCTTAGGTGTGCCAGGTCAGACCGCATTTGCCTATAGTGACAGCTTACATTTACCTATAGTGACTCTCTTTCTCCCTGGAAGAACATGACGGTATCAGGCTTCTCTCTTGTTAGTAGTGAAGCACTTAAATAGGTTTTTGCCAGGGTTCCTGTCACTCTCAGTGGCCTTGTAAGTAGTGATGACTCTTACAGCATGAGAGAAAAAGGTAGTACGTTAGCATAAAAGCACCCAACCTGAATCTCATTTCAAAACTTTGTTCTTCATTAATGTTAAATTTTACAGCTGCAAATTTTCTTCTTACTATAGCTTTTGTGGTCTCTGGTGGGATTGATATTTTGGGTTTGCATTATCACTTGTGTCATGATATTTTCTAAAATCTTTTTTTTTTCCCAAGAAGATTTTATTGCTACATTTTAGGTATATATAGAATAATCACATTCATCATAGGGAATTTGTACCTGAGTCTGATATAACTTCTTCTTTCCTCATTCCTTTCCCCTCCCTTCAACCCCTCTTCCTCATCACATTCACAAAAGCTTTGTTTCTATCTTTTTCTTCTTTTCTCATTTTCTTACTTTTTCCTTCTTTCCTTGCCCCTCCCCGAATATCATTATTTATTTATTCTTTGACCTAATTTTTAGAATAAATTGTTTCTTTTGTCACATTTGTTAATTTTTTAGTTTTCCTTCTGCTGTTAATTTGCAATTCAATTCATTGTCTTCAGAGAACACAGTTTGAATACTTTTATTTTTCTTAAATTTATCAACAGTTTTTTTCTGGCCTAACATGGTAAATCTTAGAGAAGTCCCACATACACTTGAAAAAGTCTCACATACACTTAAAAAAATTGCACTTTGTCAATGTAGGCATAGTGAACTGTAATGTCTGTTAAGTCCAGCGCATCTACAGCGTTAGGCAAGTGAAGACTTCATCCTTTTTCTTATTTATCTTTCATCTGTTTTATGTATTACTTGAAGTATAATGGTGAGGTCTTCTACTATCACTGTATTCAATTTCTCTTTTAATTTTTATTTATGACTTTCTCCTATATTTTAGCTCTCTCAAGCCTGGATCATATATGTTTCTAATGTTATGTTGGTGAACTGACTCTTACACATCTGTAGTCATTAAACTGTTGTGAGTCTAGTCTTGGAATAATCTCCTTTGTTTCTTTAAACAGTTCTTGTCTAAGTATATTTTCCTGATAATATTACATGCTTACCTCTATTGTCCTTTGGTTAAAATTTTCTAGAATTTTTCTTCATCTTTTTATTGTTAAAATGTGCCTGTTTATTTGACAACACATAGATTTATCTTGTTTTTTTGTTGTTGCTTTTGTTGCTGTTTGTTTTTTTCTTTTTCCTTTCTCCAGTTCAGGGGATTGAACCCAAGGTTTGCCCATGCAAGGCAAGCATTCTACCACTTAGCTACAACCGTGTCTTAATGATTTTCTCATTGTTAGCACAAAATGCCCAACACCCACATCTTAAAGGTAGACAGGTTTATTTGGGCTCACAGTTTTCAGGTGTTTCATTCCACAGTTAGCTGGCTCCAAGACAAAAAAAGGACTGAGCACAGGAACATAGTGGAGGGTCTGGGTGGCCAGAACGAGGAGAGAGAAGGGAGGAAAAGGTTATTTTTTATGCTCCGTGCTTCTGAATTTCTTAGATTTTGCACTCTCTTTGATCTATTAGTATCATCTTTCTTTTCTGGTGAGTTTTTAAATTGTAATACATTTTGATTTATTTCATTCTTCCTGTCCTTTCTTATAGTTATTTTTTATTTTGTTTATTTTCCTTGTTTTTGCCTTATCATGGGATTCAATTATAACATCTTAAATTAGTTATTAAAATCAACTTCAACTGATGCTAAATTAACCTCAGCCATGTTAACGAAAATCACATCTACTTTTCATTTCTGCCACATTCATTATTCGTGTCACAAATTAAATCTCTATATATTAGGTTCCTATTAATGCAGAATATTAATTATTTTTGCATTTATTTTTAATACTGAGAGAGACAAATTAAAATAAAAAGTGGAGTTACCCTAAAATTTAAAAATATTGCTTTTTATATTGTTTTCCATGTTTGCTTTTACCAGAAAAGTTTGTATTTTCATTTGGCTTCTAATTCCTATGTAGTCTTTCTCATTTCAACTTGTTTTTTTTTGTTTTTGTTTTTTCTTCCAGTACTGGGAATCGAACTCACGACCTTACACTTGCCAGGCAGGTGCTGTGCCACTGAGCTAAATCCCCAACCCCTCTCATTTCAGCTTGAATCTCTTCTTTTCCCCTTTCTTATATGGTGGACCTCGTGGTAATGTATTTCCCCATCCTTCATTTGTCTGTCCATGTTGCAGTTCATCCTCAATTGTGAGACAGTTTTGCCAGATATTGAATTATCACCATGTTCATTGCTTTTGAGATTCTCTCGCCAAAAACTGCTCCATCTCTTATGGTAAAAACTATTGAATTTTGACTGTACTTAATGTAACACATTACCTTTGTGTAGTCAGTCTTCTGAAATGTACTTTATTTCCTTAAGCAAAAGATAATTATTTTATCTGCTTAATTCAAAACTTCTTTAATTGCTACTATAGTGTAATAACAAAAATAATATACTATGTTATTGGCTCCTCAATACTATACAACACTGTTTTAAATTGGTATTTTGATTAGTCTAAACCTTATTTTAAAAATGAAAAGTTTTGAAAATATCAAAGCAATAGTGCAATATAATATAATTAAAAATTAATTCTGGTGTGGTAAGCTGCTATATGCCTATAATCCCAGCTCTCAGGAGGTAGAGGCAGGAGAATCACGGTTTCAAGGTCAGCCTGGACAACTTAGACCATGTCTCAAAAACATAAAAATAAAAATTTTTATGAGGCAATAGTTACCAATCAGTGGTAAAGGGTGTTCTGATTAGGTTTTGAGTTGGATCCTAAATACAGCACACACACAAAGAAGAAAAACCAGACATCTGCCACTTTCATTTGGTATGTAATACAGCATATCAGAATATCAACAACTGCAACAAATGTAGAAGGAAACTAAAAAAGAAAAATAAAAGAAGGCTTAATAAGGGCATTTAGGAGTTATGAAGGCAAAAAAAGAATAAAAATTCCAAAGTAAATCAGTCTTTCCAGTGAGCTGCAGTTGACTTGTCTTTTATTCCCAGTATAATTTGTCAGATTTGAGTGTACAAAGAGATGCTAGCTTAGGCCAGGCAGAGGAATATTAGGGGTGGGGTCCAGACAAACCATGATAGATGCGCACTCTTAGGGGATTGCTCATGAACTGACCTCTTAGCACCTGCCTCAGTTTCTCTTGGTCACATATGCGAGGTCCAGGGTGGCAAAACTGCAGGATGCTACACTGTCATGGGGTTCGCCTGTATGGAGATATACTGCTGATTCTTTTGTGTGTCTGGAAAATTCCCAGAGTTTCATTTATTTTGTCACAGCAATAGAAAAATGTATGGCATTATCTAACATATGGCTTTAAATAAATATTTCCTTCAATGGATTCATTGAGGATAAAAAAAAAGTATCTTCAATTGATGCATATATCTCTCAAACATACCTTCTTAAAATTTATGTAGATCATTTGTCAACTTATTAAATGCAGATTCACATTCAGTGTATCTAAGTTGCTGCTTTTGCTTTAATTTTTTTTTTTTTTTTTTTTTTGTCTTTTTGAGACAGGGTCTCGTTATGCAGTTCAGGCTGGCCTTGAGTCACTTTGTGGCCCAGGCTGGTCTTGAACTTGCAAAAATCCTCCTGCCTCAGCCTCCCAAGTGCTGGGATTACAGGAGTGTGCCACCACACCTGCCCTCTTTTGCTTTAATTGTACTAGCACATATTTTTATATAGAACAATCTGTTTCAGTTTGGCATATTCCTACATGGATATGATATACCTCATTTTTTGTCCTCCCTACCATCTCTTCCTTCCCTCCCCTCCAGCCCTGAGCCCCTTTCTCATTGTTAGTAGTCTTCCATTTTAATGTCATCTTTCCTTTTCTTCTGCCTTGTATAAAAATGTATAGAATTGGAGATTGTTAGATCAAGCAAAATAAGGCCGACTCAGAAAGTCAAATATCATAATTTCTCTAATATGTGGATTCTAAGGTAGTTCTTAATTGCATTTACAATTGTCTGTCAGTATTGATAATGAGGCTGTTGAATTCTGAAGAAATTTTAAGTAAGAATGAAAATAACCCTACATTCATGTTTAGTTTGTTTTGCTTCATATTCTGTCAAGAATGCCTTTTCATTTGTTTGCCAAAGGATTCCTATATATTTGATGCAGATTCTTTATTTTCTGTTGAATCCATGACTTAATGAAATTTTATTTTTGTGATGTCAGATTGCTGATGATCCTTAGAAGCACATATGAAAATACTCTGGGGTCAGAGCCTACCCGAGAGAGATACAATTCTGAGCGGGTGGAGGTCAGCTGATAACTTGATGTCATCATCAGCACTTTTGGAGTAAATTTCTCAGAGCCCTTTCCCCTGCCTAGTTTCCTGTGGAGATGCACAGTGAAGGGCGGGAAAGGTCACAAGAGGAGATTAAACATGACCCAGCTGCATGTGCAGGCACATGTGGACAGAGGTGGGCGGTGCGAATCACTTGGGAAAGTGCTGCAAGCAGCTGACATTGTCAGCACCCTCAAGCCAAGGGTTTCCAGGTAGATCTGGAATTCCACAGGGTCAGAAAGCCCACACCTGTGGCTGAAGAGGTGCTGTAGCAACTGGAGGAACACCAGAAACATCACGTTTCTAACATACATCTCTATAGCAATCATTCCTCCTAGACTTTCGCTATGGTTAAGGCTCAAACCACCTGTGTTAATGCAAATTCCGCTTTAAATTATTTTGGCAAATGTGCTCTGGGTTCTGAGTGTGGACCAGAAAAACTTTCATTCTTAGGCCATGTTGTTGCCGCCATGTTGTTTTGTTTTAATATATGTATCTTTCAAGACTATAATTCCAGACCTCTGAAAGGCTGCAGGTTTGACACTCATTAAAAAAATAAAATGTCTAAAAAAATAAATAAAGTGCCTTTTTGGACTATCTAATATGTAGATCTGTGTCCTTGATTAAAAGAAGAGTGACACTGTCATACCTGTACTGCTGAGGCTGAGGGGGAGAAAAGAGAATTAGACTGCAAGGGAACTCCCCTGGCCCCTACTTCCAAAACTTCCCAGGGCCTTTCAAAACACAGCTACCTCTAAGAAACACTCTCAGTAGGTGGAGACACCAGGAGGAGCAGCTGGGGCAGCCCAGCCTCACACTTCTGCTTCCCTGGGTTGTTTTTGTTATGGCCTGTATCACTGTGGGAGGGGAACTGCTATACTGCTGACAATAATAAATTGCAACATCATCAGGCTCCAGGCTGCTGATGGTGAGAGTGAAATCTGTCCCAGACCCGCTGCCGCTGAACCTCGATGGGACCCCAGTTTGCAAACTGGATGCAGCATAGATCAAGAGCCTGGGAGCTTTCCCTGGTTTCTGCTGATACCAGGCCAAATTGCTGTAAATGTTCTGACTGGCTTTGCAAGTGATGGTGACTCTGTCCCCTTGAGATTTGGACAGGGAGGATGGAGACTGGGTCATCTGGATATCACATCTGGCATCTGCCAATGAAAACATAAAAATAAATATTCACAATTCTGTGACTGTCCTGAAGGGACAGGCTGCACTAATCACATAGGGTTGAACAAATTCCCAGCATCGTCCTTCCTTACCTGGCAGCCAGAGCAGCAGCAGCCCCAGGAGCTGAGCGGGGACCCTCATGTCCATGCTGTGTCCTGACTGGGACTGACTCCTGCACAGGGTGTGACAGCCTATGAAGAAGTCCTCAGGGCCTGGGCTGTGCTCTGGGACATGCAAATCAGCAGGGGCTGGGCAAGGCTGGCACAGCTGCTGAGCTGGCTGGTCCTCAGTAACTCAGCAAAGGCCCGGTGTCCCCAGATGTCCCAGTCAGATCAGGGCAACACAAGTTTGCTTTCAGAGAGTGTTTTTTCTGCTAGGCCACAGAAAATATTCAGTCTGCTATGCTATGTTTTCTTTCTTTCCTTCTTTCTTTCTTTCTTTCTTTCTTTCTTTCTTTCTTTCTTTCTTTCTTTCTTTTTCTTCTTTCTTCTTCTCTCTCTCTCTTTCTCTCCCTGTCTCTCTCTCTGTCTATCTCTCTGTCTCTCTCTCTCCCTCTGTCTCTCCTTCCTTCTTGGTACTTCTGATCAAACAGAGAGACATTCCACTATCTAGCTCCATCCCTAGCCCTTTTTAAATTTTAAGACAGAATCTTACTGATTTGGCCAGATTGGGCTCACACTTGCAATCCTTCTGCTTAGTCTTCCAAGTGCTAACATAACAGGCAAGAGATACAGAGCCTAACATATTTCCTTCATTATGCATGAAATGCTCCTTGTGTTAGTTTTTGTTTAAAACTGTGCACAAGGGAAGTGCAACTCAAGAAACTAAAATACAGTTTACAAGTCTTCTGCATTTGATATTGTCTGTATTATTGAAGCCAGATGACTTATATGGTGGGATGTCTTGAAACCATTGGTGAATGAATCATTACTTCTACTGCTCAGAGATGTAACAGAGAGTGAGAGTGAGAGACAGGCAGAGAAGGAGAAAGGGAGAGGACAGAGAGGGAAAAGAGAGAGCAGGAGCTGAAGAGCATGAGGGGGGAGGGCCTTAAAATAAAAAAATATGAAGTAAAATGAGAATGTATACCATCATGTGAGACATATTGTCAAATCTGAAAGAAGGCCCATCTAGTGAGTATCTCTGATTGCTGATCTCTTTTCCTCAGATAAGTGCCTGTTGTCTTCCGTGTTTGCATGCTCTTACCCTGACAACAAGCCAGCCAACATGAGGGATTTTCTCTGTCCAATTCTGAAAAACTCAGTAACAGTTCCAACTCTACGACACTTTGGAATTACAGGTCAGATGTTTCTTAGATTCCTATTCAGAACTCCTCTCGCTGTTGACCCAACCTTTTCACCCTCAAAACCTGACCTGTTCTCTAGCGCAAATGCTCGACTCTGCCCTTGAATCTACCCGGCTGCATAGTCTGCTTATTGGTACATTACCCATCCCTTCTATATTCTAAGAGACAGCAGTTCTTAATGACTGGGTTTAGGACATGTGAATTGTGGAGATTCAGAAGGAAAATACATGGAAAAGTAATGGGGGGGAGGCAGGGTGGTGCATGGGGCACTGGAGCCCCCAGGACCTAAAGAGTTCAATACAATAAGGTAGAGAGGAATGAGGACTATAGAGAATCGAAGCAAGAGTGTAGCAGGAAGGGTAACCCCGCATGCAAGTTCAGGATATGGGAAAGTCCTCTCTCCCCTGATGCTGAATGTCTCAGCAGGGGAAGAAGGAACAAAATGCTCATGCGAGTGAAAGTCACTGCCACTTTGTTAGAGCCCAAGCAGGTGGAGATCACAGGAAGGGAGCAAAGTTCATAGTGCACTGTCAGGGTGTATTATTCTAATGTAAGTGAATGGACACTAGAGGGACGATGTCTACACAGAATGTAGGCAGTAGGGGCAGAAGTATATTGATTTCATAAAAGTAATACATAAATTTAATAAGGATATTTAGAACCAAGTAACTTCACTGTTGAAAAGTCACAAATATAAAAGGGAGAACACTAGAGAAAACATTCTGTGCTTTTTGATTATAATTAAAGATAAAGATGTAGATTAAAAAGTCTGTAGGTAGATTAATAATTTTCCCTGGAATCAATGACACACTAGTAATAATGGACATTTTTAGTGCCCAAAACTTATTCTTTTGAATGCCCATGATTACTAATAGGAACCACTAATTCTTACAGAAATGGCAGATTTCAGAGGTAGAACCCGGAAAGACAAAGCACAGTAAGCCTGGATCATCAAGCTAGAGATCCAAGGATGTGGTCAGAGGATTATGGGACGGAAGTGACAAGTAACAGGAGACAGCCTGACTTAGGCTCTGGTTAGACCAATCTGGAAAATTCTGACAGTAAAAATGAATTATGATGGTAACAAGCTCTTGAATAAAACAAGAAGGCAGGATATCATATTTCAATGAGCAAGAGTGTATTCATAAAATATCAAAGGAGATTTTAGTTATTTTGAAGAAAATCAAACTAAAGTTCTGGGGACAAGTCTGGCAAACACCAGCTTCAAGCAGGGATCATGAATCATGAGACAGTCAAACACCTGAGCCACTTGACAGCATTCAGGACGGGCACAGCGGCACTGTGCATGTCACTGTCTGCAGCTCTTCTTCCTCCTTTAATCTCTCAAAGACTCATCTCCTTCAGGGGTGCACAGCCTGTTTCTACCTCACCTGTGCTTGTGGCTGTCCATCACCAATACTGAATTTTTTTTGTTTTGTTTTGCTTTGTTTTGGTTTTTCTCCGGTACCGGGAACCGAACTCATGACCTTGCGCTTGCCAGGGAGGCGCTTTTGCCGCTAGCTAAATCCCCAGCCCTACCAATACTGAATTTGAGCTCCTATTTCTTAAAACACCAAGAGTAACGTGTTGCTGTTTAACATTTTGCAAACATGTTTTTCCCCCACAAATAATAGTAAATCACCTCCACCTAAATGATCAGGGCAACAATTCTTTTCATTGTGGCACACGCTTCTCCTCACAAGTCACAAATGTAACCCAAGGCCTGAATTATAAAGAAGACCACAAAACAGCATTTGCTTTATAAAGATTTTATGGGAGGAACTGAGTTTAGAAAGATCATGGAACAATATATAGATGATTCAGGCAATATTTCTGAATATGTTTCCTCAATATAATTCCCTGAACTTTTTCTCAAAAGTCTTACTGTAAGACAGGATCTGGATGGGATAAACTACATCCTCTTGACATCCTGGTAATAACATAATGTGGAAAAATTAAAATCAGACATTAGTTGTGTTTGGTGTTCTGGTTGGTGGCAAAACCATAGACTGAAAAGACAGGAGAAGGCAGGTTTCTGTCAGGTCTTCCTCAGATTAAACTACTGACCCTGTGCAAGCATTACTTCCTTTTTACAGCATATTTTGAAACCCTACTAGGCCAGACTTTGTAGTGTATTTGCCACAAGCTACAGCTTTAATCAAAGTGAAATATTTCTATCTATACGTACCTACCTGGATCCTTCCACCATACATTTCTGTTCTCCCTTTCTAACAAATTTCTCTTCTCACTCCCTGCCACCTGTGTTTACAGCAAAGGCTGTTCAGAATATCAATAGTGTATTCTTTTTTGCTGTGCAAATCACAACTCATCTGCAAACCACATGCCTCAAGTGTAACTTTCCAGCATCTGGGAAAAGCTCTTAGCATAGAGAGGCACGAGAAAAACCTCCTGGGGCAGCCCAGTATCGCATTTCTGCTTCCCTGGGTGGTTTATGTTGTGGCCTGTATTGCTACACTGTTGACAATAGTAGATTCCAAAACTTTGGATTCCAGGTTGCTGATGCTGAAAGGAAACCTCTTCTCGATGCAGTGACACTGAAAGTTGAAGGGATCCTGAGTTATAACCTGGTTGCAGCATAGATCACAGAAATAGGACTTTTCCCTGGATTCTGCTGGTACCAAGCCAACACACTGGCCCTAACTTGTGACACTGACAATGTCTTCTCCAGGAAGGGTGGGTAATAGATCATTTGGATCTCACACGTGGTATTTTAATCAGGAACAGAAAAACAGAGATGAACACAAGTAACACAAAAAATATCAGTTTAAAGCAAGCTCATAGCAACATTTAAGAACCACAGGGAAAGATGAAAAGAAGACCTACAGTTTTAAAAGGAGAATAGGGGTTTTAGGTGAGTTGAAATTTTCCTCTTTTATTCTCATTTGTAATTTTCTAAATTTGAGAGTTATGAAAGATTCAGGCTTGGCCTCAGGAGAAGGATCCTACTTGGGAAGAGAATGCAGTTGAGATTTGGCAGGTGCCTTAACAGATTGGATGAGACATGAGCCCTTCACATTACGCTAGTCTGTTCCAGGAGAATACTGTAAAGTGCTGTGCCTGGCCCTGCACGGGGGAAGAACGCATACTGAGGAAAACCAGAAGTGTGAGGATAAGGGCAGGGACAGAAAGCACCTTCAGAGAACCAAACTAATCCTGTGCATGTGTACTAGCAAGTAAAACATCTAAATGAAAGTGAAAACATTTATTAGTTGTGTTTTTCCCAAGTCATTGTTCATACGTGGCTATGATTCCAAATGAATTTGACAGTGCACTAAGGCAGAGCAGATTAGGATGACCCTGTGTTTAACTTTCTCTTCAGCATGTCTGCAGGCTCAGAGGGTGAGTGACCGCCCTTATTCTCCCTGTTATTGATGCCATGTCACAGCTAATGAGTGCTCAGCATGAGCTGCCGGGGCTCTAGAGGAGAGCATACAAATCGTTCCCCTGAGGGCTCCAATGTCTGCCTCTCTCACAGACTGAGAATCTGGTGAGCTGCTCTCCAGAGAAGCAATATGTGTGATAGCTGTGTTCCCCTAGGCAGGGAGGTTTGTGCTTGGGACTATCTCACTGTGGGAGGGGTATGTGCACGTTGCAGTCAGTAATAAACTCCAGCAACCCCAGCCTGCACCCTGCTGATTTTCACAGTGAAATCTGTCCCTGACCCACTGCCACTGAACCTGTTTGGGACCCTAGAATATTGGATGGAAACAAAATGGATCAAGCGTCTTGAAGACTGGCCTGGCTTCCATAGGAACCAAAGCAAGTAAGTCTTCCTTTCACTACCTAGGAGGCTCTGACTAGACCTGCAGGGGATGGAGGCCAGCTCTCCAGGAGTGACAGAAAGGAACTG